TTCACAAATAATACCATCATCGTCATCGTCGCCATTATCGTCTTCTTTATCGTCCTAGTCACAGTTTCCTAATTCATACTCATCATTCTCATTACGTCATCATCATCGTCATCGCTTTAATTTCTATGATTTATCTATTTATCGTCATCGTCGTCATCATTATTATCGTTATTTTCAGTAACCCCTTTTTTTTACAACCTTACAAAAAAATTTTTTTTCTTAACTCGCGGAACCCCTCATGGCAGGCCCTTGCGGTACCCCGGTTGAAAAACACTCCAACTCTTTTACTAATCATCGTCGTCGTCATCATCGTCGTACTAGTTTAGTCTTCAGTAGTAACTGTAGTTGGATAGTTAGCTATTTATTTATTTAGCTTTATTTATTTAGCTAATGTAAAAACAGACTCTGACTATGTTTTGTGTCATCTTGAATTTGAGAATTGTTTCATTCATTGCTATTCTTGTACTGTTAAAAATACGGCTACTACTACAATTACCTTTTGACTACTACCACCACCACTACTACTACTACTACTACTACTGCTATTACTACTACTACTACTACTACTACTACTACTACTCTAATATAATCACTAATTATAACTATGAAGTATTTGTTAGTTTAAAGGAACACAAATTACACTACCTTTTACCATTAATAGTCATGTTACTTTTATAATTGCCAAAATTCTCTCTCTCTTTCTCTCTCTCTTTCTCTTAATTTTTCATATATATATATATATATATATATATATATATATATATATATATATATATACTCGTTATATGTTTATATGTTGGAGTGTGTGTATTTTTAATTCCTATTCTTAACCTTTGAACCAGGATTCGGATAATTAGTTGTATTTGCTTGAGTTGTCTTAAGTAAATATAATTAATTAGCCGTAGTAATAATAATAATGATAATAATAATGTTAATTTTTATTGTTGTTGTTATTTTATTGTTGTTATTTTTATTAAAAATTTAATTTTCTTTTTTTACATTCAAAAACAGAACTGAAGACCATGATTTCCACATTTTTCAAGAACACCCTCCACGAGTCACTAAAAGACTTATTATCAAAATTATTATTGCCGCAACCACCATCATCAGCAGTAGCAGCAGCAGCAGTAACGACATCAACGACATCATCGTCATCTTCGAATCCAGATATGAGAGCGCTTAAACAATCAACGGAAACAAAATTTACACCGCCATCGATGACGTCATTATCTACGTCATCATCTCTCTCGCTATGTTCGCTGGCGTCATTGTTTCTGCTGGGAACGTTAATTTTTTTGCCCTCCCCCTCCGTTTGTAATGGAATTGGTTGGTGGTGATGTATGCTTATTTTGTACGCTCACACACACACACACATATACACACACATACATACATACATACATACATGTTTGTACACACATTCCTTCGTTTACATATAACTTACTAGGCTTATTGTTCATATTAAATTCATTTTTTTAAATTTATAATTTATAGATTCTTTTTTTAATTGTTCTTTGTTCTCATTATTTTTATCAACCTCTTACGCTTTTTACAATGCCTTTAATGTTCTCATATGTTGTGCTTGTGTATGTATTTATGTATGTGTATGTATGTATGTATATATACATGTATTTTTATTGTTTGTTTGTTTGTTTGTATGTATTTATATATGAATGTATGTATGTAAGTATGTATGTATGTATGTATGTATGAATGACTGTTTCTTATATATACAAATACACACATAGATATATACATACCTATCTTCACACGCACACATGCATACATTTACACATAAATACACAAGCACTCACATATTCACACACACACACACCCGCACACACAGACATTTATAACATTTCTTACAAACATCAAAGACCATCAAAACTAACTTAGACAGGTGTTTATGGGGTAAACATTCTTATATTGATGAGAAAAAGAGATAGTGAGAAAAAAAGAGAGAGAGAGAGAGAGAGAAAGAGGGAGAGAGAGAAAGAGAGAGAGAAGGACATGGAAGTGGATGACTAAAATAAACAATCATGATTAATTGTATTGTAAAACAGATCTCCAAGGAAATCATTTTAAAATATGAATGTGAGGATTAGAGTGTGTGCTGGTTGGTTTGTATGTGTTGTGTTTGTCCGTAGGCATGTGCGTATCAGTGTGTATGTTTGTATGTATATATGTATGTATGTTTGTAAGTATGTATGTATGTGTATGTTTTTTTGAAGTATTCTTAAGTATGAATTGAAGATAGGTAACGCTTGAAGTGATTAAGCTGTGTGAAAGAGAAATTAAGGAAAAACCCGGCAGGTAAAAATAGTTGCTGATGGTGAGGATGAAGACGTTGTTTGTGATGATGAGGAGGAGGAGGTGGAGGAGGAGGAAAATGATGATGGTGGAGGCGAGGGTAGCCATATTGATGACGATGACGACCATTAGTGCTTTTATAGGTCATCGTTCAAATGTATTCCACAGGTCTTTATCATCATTATCACCACCACCATCATCATCATCATTATTATTATTATCGTCATTACTATCATCATTACTTTCATCATCATTATCAGGATTGTCGTCATCGTCACCATCATCATCATCCTCGTTGATTATTAATAACGTTGTTTATAATTACCTAGCTAATATAAAAGTTAGTTTCTGTACTATTTCAATAATTATTATTTTCATCTTGTTACTATCATCATCATCATCGTCGTCGTCATCATCTTGTCGTCTAGTTAATTAAATTTGACTTTTAGGGATTGTGATAATGATCTCACATCTTTGTTTTAAAATTCAATTTGTTAATTTTGTTTGCTTTAAGCAGTGAGTTTGTGTGGTCTGATATAATATATATATATATATATATATATATATATATATATATTTTCTATCTGTTTATATGTGTATATGTTTGTTTGTGTGTGTGTGTGTGTGTGTGTGTTTGACTGTATGTATCACACATACATACGTACACACAATCTAACATACACAAATATGTATACACACATGTACACATACACACACACACACATATATACTCTTACACCCAGTAGAATCGCTGATGAATATTAAATGAACTCTTCTGTGAACTTACTGAAGTTCTTTCTGTCTCTGGCGCGGAAAACAATGTTGCATAACTTATTGTTGTTGTTATTATTATTATTATTATTATTGTACTCTTTATTATTATTGTTGTTATTGTTATTGTCAATACATTTTTATTATTATTGTCTGGGTGACAGTATTGTAGTTTCATAATCTATTGTTCGAATTATAATTTATAATTTTTGCGTGTGTGTGTGTGTGTGTGTGTGTGTGTGTGTGTGTGTGTGTGTGTGTGTGGTATATGTGTGTGTAAGTTTTTGATATCAAAACCAACAATCATTCAAGTGCAGTTAGGAATATTAATGAATAGTTAAAATTTGGCAGTACTGCATAATACTATAATTTAAGATTGCTGAATAAATTGTATGCTTGTTTGTGTGCATTTTGTATGTGTGTATGTTTGTGTGTTAGTGTACATTTGTTTGTATGTTTGTATTTATGCTCGTATGTTTGTGTGTAACTGTTTGTGTTTGTTTTTGGACATGAGAAATAAAAATGTATGCATGTGTGTTTGTTTAAATATGTACCTATATGTGATTTTGTATGCATGTATTTGTGTGTGCGTGCGTGTGTGTGTGAGAAAGAAAGAGAGAGAGAGTTTATGATACATGATTTATGTATTAATAATTTGATATGTTTATGATATCTTTGTCTCCAAGGATTTTAATTGGTGGTGGATGTAATTGTTATAACGTGATAGTCCCACTACACTTTGTAGCAGCAGCAGCAGTTGTAGTGTGGTAGTAGTAGTAGCAGCTATAGTAGTAATAGTGATGATAGGATTGGCAATTGTGCAATGACATTTATCTTGAGATTTTACTTGAGATTTGAAAGTATGGTAAAATAAGGCATACACATATTATACAAACACATACATACGCGCACGCACACACACACACACACACACACACACACACACACACACACACACATACATACATACATGCACATACATGTTTACGTCCTGCACTATGTCAAGTGTTGTAGATAACATATTTTAATGGATGAATGAATGAATGAATGAATGAATGAATGAATGATTGAATGATTGAACAGTTAATTTTTATACTCATGTATATAAATATTTATCGGTTTTTTAGTAGTAACTACGGATACGGTGGCAGTAATAGTAGTAGTAGCCGTAGTAATAGTTGTAGTAGTAGTAGTAGTATTAGAGTAATAGTAGTAGTAGTAGTAGTAGTTCTGTTACCTAATTTAGTTTGAGGGCATGTTCTACTTCTTTGTTTGAGAGGCTTGCAGTTGCTGCTGGTGCTGTAAGATGATGATGATGATGATGATGAAGAAGAAGTAGATGATGGAGATGTTGTAGTTGAGTGTGGTGATGATGATGATGATGATGAAAAAAGATGATGGTGGTGTTGTAGTTGGTGAAGATGATGATGTTATTGCTGTTTTAGCGATCAATTAAATTGAATTATGATTTTAAATTGTTTGAATTCAATTTTTAATCAATTTCCTAATACTAAATATGGCAATAAATAGAGAGAGAAAGAGAGATAGGAAAGAGAGCTAATTGTCAAATGAATTTCTCAGATTAAAATACTATTAGATTATTCATTGGTTATTTGCTTTCTGTCCTCCGGTTTTATGTTCGTTCATTCATTTATTTATTTATTTATTTATTCGTTCATTCAACTATCCATTCATTCACTCATTTTTTCACTCAGTCATTCATTCTCTTAGTTGGTCTTTCATTTCGTTTTCACGGTTAATTAATTTATTTGCTTGTTCGTTTTTCGTTTATATTAAATGTTATTTTCGTTTATTTATTCGTTCATTCACTCATTCATTCATCATTCATTCATTTTTTTCATTTATTCATTTTGGAATCCATTCAAGTTTTACCCTGTTGGTCATAGACCGAGCAGTTTTATTTAATTAAAGCCTAGTGACTATTGATATTTTTTTTTTAAATTCATGAATGAACATGAATGAATGAATGAACGAATGAATGAATGAAAGAAAGAATGAATGAATTCCTTCATTCAGGCCCTATCCAACCGCCGATCATAAAATCCCGTCACCCGGCATTTGATTATGCCAATGACATGAAGGAAAAGGCGGATACTTGTGTAGCTATTGGAACTCCTCCCATACAGTTTGTTCATTCATTCAGTCATTCATTCATTCAGTCATTCATTCATTCATTCATTTGTTCGTTCGTTCGTTCGTTTATTTGCTTGTATTTTTATTGATTCGTTTGTATTCATTGATTCGTTTGCTCGTTCATTCATCTGTTCATCCATTTGTTCATTCGTTCATTCGCTCATTTGTTCGTTGGTTCGTTTGATCGTCCATTCGTTCGTTTATTCATTCGTTCAAGTTAACAAAGAAATGTATGAATGAATGAATGAACGAATGAATGAATGAATAATAATAATAACATCACTAGAAATATTAATAATTATATTTTGTAATTATACAGCTACTACTGGGAATCAGAGAAATCTGGGCAAAAAATACCGGGCCCAACTCTGAATTTTTCCAAACATTTTTCCAGATCAGAGGAAGGTCATCATCTTCATCATCATCATTTTCATCATCATCTATTTTCTTTCTAATTTTTCTTCTTATTCGTATTCTTTATTAACAATATCCAACATCTTCCTTCATTTCATTTCATTTGTTTGCTTGCTTGTTTGTTTGTTCATTTATTCATTCGTTTATTCATCCATTTATTCATTCATTCATCAATCAATCAATTGATCAATCAGTCAGTCAATCAATCAATCGATTCCTAATCAGGCAACTACTACTGTGTAGCGACAAATGCATTTGGAGTAGCCCAATCAAACGTCACCAAATATATTTTCCAAAAGGCCTCGTGCTCTTCTTCTTCCGTTCCGAATAATATCTTTCTCTTGGAGGGCTTTTCCTACCAGCTACCGTAAATTGTCTACATTTCTTTTCGGCCTTCCAACACTCAGAGGCGTAAGATAGTAAACAAAATAAGGAGTGTAATGAACTATAAACCCCGTAGAGGTATTTATGTAAAAGACTTTGGGTTGTAGTTTCCCAATTTTTTGTGTGTCGGAAGTCTTACGGTGAGTTGACCCGTGTCCTGTGTAGGTTTTTTGGGGAGTTTTGAGACCGTAGAGACCGCACTGTGATTCATTTTTTGAAGGCTCCCAGTAGAAATTTCAGTTACGCCTCTGCTACTCTATTTTTTATTTTCAAGAATTATTTTTTTTAATGATTGTTGTTATTAGCGGTGTAGCGGTTAATTGAGAACCGGCGAATTTGGTAGCGGCGCTACTTTCTAAGCTAAATAAAAACGCTATCGCGAATTTCGAGTCAACTTGCTAATTATAACTTTGATCCTCACTAAGGCCTTCCTTTCTTTGCCACTACAGGTGCGGTGTCGAGTGTATACCTGAAGGCACGTGTGAGATCCAGTGGAAGTGGCTGTCTGGCTACATCCCTTTCACACCCAGAACTGATATGCGATTTGATCCATTTAGTGGTTTGTCTGTTTGCGACTTTTTGTCTGTCTCTCTGTTTGTTTGTTTGTTTGTTTGTATGTCTATGTGCGTCTGTATATTTGTCTCTGATTGTTTGTATGTATGCGTTCTTTTGTGTCCCCGAACGTCTGACGGTTTGTACTTCTGTATGTTTTTGTATCTGCCTTGCGCACACACACACACTCGCACGCACGCACGCACACACACACTTACACGCACACAGGAACCATGCACATCAACTACGTAGACAGCAGTATCAGAGATCTTTTGTCAGGAAAAACTTTAATATGTTCTGGCAAAGCTGGTGTCACCACGGTTGAGTGTGCCAGTCATACTTTCACCTATTCAAGCGGTTATTATGATGATGGTGATGAGATGATGATGATATAATAATAACTAGTGAAGATAGTGATGCTGCTGCAGATGCTGGTGGTTACTTAGGATGATGATTATGATGATGATGATGATGATGATGATGATGATGGAAAATTACTTCTTTTTTCATTCAAGACCATCGGCCTAAGACGACACCGACAGAACTGAAGTTTAACACGGAACCAAATCTTTTGGCATTGTTGGGAGACAGCATTACTTTAGACTGTTTTTTTGTTACTAGGTAAATTTAAACTTTACCTTGCTTGTTCATTTATTTATTTATTCACTTATTTATTTATTCAAGTTAGAAATTTCAACTGACTTGCGTGTTAAAGATGCAGCGAATAGTGAATTTGGCGAAAGGTCATATCGCCGAATAGTTAGCTGATCAGCTGCTCGGTCGATGCCTGGAAAACCGCAGTCTTAAAAAAGAAATATCTTTTAGAATGTAAAACAACCTATTTAAAAAAAACGGTATACGATTCGTGTCTATCTGAAATTCTTTATCAAGTTTATAAAAGTTTCTGCGTCTGTCAGATCCTGATTTTTAAAGAATAATAAAAAAAAGAAGATAATATTCCATCTCTTGTTCAAATGCCGATGTTTTATTTAGCAGCTCTGATGGCTAAAATAAATTTTTCGAAAATAATAATCAATTATTATCGTTTTAGAGTGCCAAAGAGTGATGGCTCTAACAGAAATTGCGCTACCTTCTGCTGACAAACCTTTAAAAATTGCGAAAGTCAAATTTCAAATTTCGGTCGAACATTTCATATTGTGTATCGTCTAACACCACCTCGGCATAGTCACCATTCTCTATATCATCACCATTATTATCATCATTCTGATCGTCTTTACCATTACCAACAGCTTAGTTACTAAGGTTGCTTTTTTTGTATTTAACGAGTGTCTTGTATTCTTTTGGGTACACCTAAATGAGGGAATGCCTAATTTGACGTCGTCTATTTTTGTATATGCCACATTTGGGATATATATATATATATAAGTATATTAGAGTGTGTGTGTGTGGGTGTGTGTGTGTGTGTGTGTGTGTGTGTGTGTGTGTGTGTGTGTGTGTGGTTGTTTGAATGTGTGTTTGTCTGGGTGTCTATCTGTCTGTCTGTGTATATGTATGTATCACTAACGTCTATATGATTGTGATAATCTTTATAACGATCATAGGGATAGATGCACGGTTGCCTGGGAGATGAAGAGCAGTGATGGCGACTGGAGACCAGTGAAATGTTATCACCATTATTACCACATCACATTCATCATCGTCATAGCCACCATCCATCATCATAATCTTCAGCTCCAGAAAGCCTTTTTCAATAGTGACGAATCATTCACCGTATCATCTTCACCATGATTATCACCACCACCTATATCGTCGTCATCATCAGCACCACCGCAGTCATTATCATAACGTCGTCGTCATCACCATTATCATCACCGTCATCATCATTTATTTTCAGTTTCAGAGGCATTTTTCAACAGCCCCGACTCCCTCACCATATCGAGTGTGAAGTTCAGCCACGCCGGCCAGTACAGGTGCAAATGCGGCGAGGAAGGTGTGCACGAGAAAAACTTGACCGTGCGTGGTTAGTATCCCATCACCATTCTCACCATCGTCGTCATCATTGTTATTGTCATTCATCGTCATCTTCGTCTTCATCGCTGTCTTCATTGAACATTATCATCTCTTGCGAAAAATATGCATGGGTAATAATGTTTACACCATGAACTTCTTGATAGGTTGATTGATAATTGTCGCTTCTTATGCAATACAACGGGCGTTTATTGCTATTGTTGTTGTTATTATTATTGTTGTTGTTATTATTGTTGTTGTTGTTATTTCTTTTTCCCAGCGAGGCCATACTTCAAATCGGTTGACGACATGCCAGTGAGCAAGCAATACGTCGAAGGCGACGATGCCGTCATCAATTGTAGGCCCCTTGGAGTGCCCGAACCCACAGTCGAATGGTTCTTCGACTCCACGCCTTACAAAAGTCAGTAGCCATGATCGTCATCATTATAACATCATTCAATTTTAACATCACTATTACCACTGTCATACTCCTTATGATGTCGTTATCACAATTTGTCCTATTAACCGAGGTGCTATGCGACTAATCTTCTGTCGTTGCTGTTGCACTGACCGGGTTCGAACGCAAAGAGGTCCCCACCTATTAATATTAATAACAGGTATTCAAGAGTACTTGTATGCTGTTGTTAACTATGCGAGTCAATTAAGTTAACAGAGAAACAATAATAAAAAATAATAATAATAATAATTATAGTAGTGATGATAATTATCAATCATAAAAAAAAACAGAATACATCGAGACACATCCCAAAGTGTGGCTTAGCGACGATGGTCGGCAGCTGAATTACCGACAGCTCTGTCGTTCACGCTGTACAAATAAACCCAAGGGCGATAATATAGTGATCACGTGTGTCGTCAGCAACGTGCACGCCACCTACAGATATTCGGCTGCTATCTCTGTCTATGGTTCGTTTGTGGTTTGTTTGTCTGTGGTTTGATTGCCTATGGTTTGATTGTTTATAGTTTGTTTGTTGGTCTATGGTTCCTTTCTTTGTTTGTCTATGGTTTGTTTGTCTATGGTTTGTTTGTCTATGGTTTGTTTGTTTGTCTATGGTTTTTTCCCTATGGTTTGTTTGTAGTTTGTTTTTCTGTCTATGGTTCGTTTGTCTATGATTTGAGAAGCAAACAAACGAACCATAGACAACCAACCATCCAACCAACCATCCAACCAACCATCCAACCAACCATCAAACTAACCATCCAACCATCAAACCAACCAACCATCCAACCAACCAACCAACCATCCAACCAACCAACCAACAAACCAACCATCCAACCAACCAACCATCCAACCAACTAACCAACAGATCGAACGGTGATCACGAAGGCTCCCGAGAACAGATCCGTCAGCGTCACGAACAAATACACAACATCTGTCGTCTTTGACTGTGCAGCTCAGAACGATATCTACACCAACATTACTTACTAC